GGTACTGAGAAAACAAAATTTTATATGATTTATGTATCGCTTTTGCTTCCTTTGTTTTCTTTTTTTTTCATTCGAGGCGCTTTTCCTCGACACCGGTGAAAAAAAAAAACGAATCATAGGATATGTAAGGGACACACCTGCTAATCCATCGAACAGTGGAATTTCCCAAATCGGTGGAATCTGGTTCCACAAAACCGCTTTCCACTTCGCTTTCACTCACCGACACTTCCGTCTCTTCATCAAATTCTCGTCTTCGACTACTTCGATCACTGCGTTTCTCCAGTTCACGCACATTGACATGTCGCAACTTCGAGACATCCAGTGGTATTCTCATATACACCATCAGGTTGATGTAATGCTTGGCCTAAAATGTATTTGATGATATAAAGAAATTTCAAGCTACAACAGTAAATAACATGCCCTCTTTTCTGCACAGATTTAAGCAATGAACAAAGAGATAAAGATGGAACTGCAGCAAAAGTGAACCTGCTGGAATTAGGTTAACAACGGTGCTCCCTATCTGAGATTTAATGTTGGCACACCTGTCCATAAACAATCGAATTTTCCTCCGCTGCTCGTCTCTTCACTTCTTCATCGTTGAGATGCGCTACAGCTGCCAACTGATCGCTTACCAGATCCATTCCCGACGGCTTTTCCATTAGATTCCAAGTGTCTGTGACATTCTGTAAAAAAAATTTCATGATTTTTTTGGAGCACCAACAGCTGAAATGCACCCAGTGAACGTTTGCCCCCGAAAGCGCTAAACAACCTCCCCCCTCTCATCAATTAGTATTTCAAAAACTTCGACAGGCTTGCTTTGAGCGCCTCGATTGCACGTCGCTCTGTAAAAATGGCCTATTGAATAAACTTTCCGCGGCTCCGCAAGCAACAACTATTTACTGGCATCTCCAAGAAGTAACTGAGGAACCTACTGGAAAAATTGCAGCACAAAAAATACACACACACACAACTTATCAACACTCAAATTAATGAGTTATGCAGGGATTATTTTTTGGCAGAGCGGGAAGAAACGACTGCGGATCCTCCCCTAAGGGATAAAACAGGCATCGTAAGTCGTTACCAGAAGCCTATCACATCAAGGTGTTATATGAGACCAAGTAGTATTCACTTCTTTCAGTGGAAATGGGCAATCGAACTCTTCCCGCGATGGCAAATAGAGCCTTCTGATCTGTCGATGGACGTCATGAAAGAAAGCAGCCTCCCAGAACTGCTGATTGTTCCATACCGCATGTTCTTGGATGCAAGTGTACGCGAACTGATGCACACCGGCCGTCAATCGCTGAAAAATACAGTGCCTGAATGCATTTCAATTATTGTAAGGGGCACAATGCATCAGTTCCAAGAAATCTGACTAAAACAAATCAACCTTTTCTAACAGCTGACGACGACTGCCGAGGGGATCACCGATGGAAAATGTGAAGCAAATCTCCCAAACAGTAATTGTAGCGGCTGCAAGGAGCTCCACTGTACTATGGCTCGTTGATCCGGTCCCGACGACGGCCGGCACCCCTTTTATACCCTTCATTAGTCCTCGCCGTCCCTCCCTTTCCGTCCAAGAGAGGTACTGCCCCCACCGCCTGTTCTTCCTTCAAGCCTCTTTCAAAGGGCAGGTCTCTTTGTTTGTCTAAATGTTTTCCCAACTCTGTTAAGGTTAAAGGACAATAAAACACAAACATATTCTCGGCAGCAGCGCTGGAAAATTTCGCTATTCCGCGAAACATCTCCGATAAGATGTTCGCGAGATCATGATTTATGGCGACGCCGATTTTGTTTTTTACCTTGTTTCCAAAAATTCCTCATAATTTTTCCTTTTGAATGTCCTCGCGTCGCGACAGTAATAAAACCAAACAAAAAACTAATGTTAACGAAGTCCTGCCCAGTCGCTAGTTGACCTCAGAGGCAACCCCAGGAGGAGCAAAAGTGCAAACCTACGTAAAGTCTGAGTATCGCTGGACCGTTCATTTGTATCTGAACAGAAATATCAGACCAAGAGCGAAAGTGCCTTTTACGAATACAAATAAAGGTATGCGCCAGGCGATAAAATTCGTCGAAAAAGCCAAAATTTACTCTGAATGGCACGATAAGACTGGGCTACCCTAGCACACTTTTCAAAATCTTGTTCAGCTATTTTTTAAGTTTTGATCAGTTGACGCTCCTCTTATCCACTACATCCTCGCTGTAATTTTTAGGACATGAGATGAGGCCTCCGAGCAAGATTACAATTCCACATCCTGCAAGTCTCGTAGCAAGCTTACTTCAATGCGTTGAGCACCACAGCTCAACACTAAAAATTTCATGATTTTTACCAGTAAAGAAGCAATTACCCTGCAGTAAATATTCGAAAGATACAGCATCGCATAAGCAATTCCGTGCTCGTCTTCTCGTGATTCTTGCTGAAAAATTCTTCTTAGGAGGATGTGAATATACGGGGTTGTTGCTGCTGCTAATTTATCAAATTTACTTGATTTCTTAAAAGAAGCAAAACAAACATTCAAGGCGCAGTTCATCAGGCGTACGATCAGTTCAAATTGTTGCGGCAGTAACGTGGCTCGACTGACGGGGAAAAGATTTTTCCACAGCAGCTGACAAAACGCAACACGTGCATTCACGCTACGCATTGACAATTCAACGGCACACATTATCTGAAAATAGTTGTTACGAATCGATTTCTACTCCTTTCGGCAAATTCTAGGACGAAACCAGAGGGGCTTGTGTGGGGGAACATTTGAAAATGAGCAGAGAACATTGGCGCCGAAAAAAAAAAAAACAACGTCTGCATCTTTTGCTTTTTAATCACCTTTCTTGCATCCGATAATTTGAAGTCAAAGATGTAATGCAGGCAGTTGCCCAGTACTTGCAGACGTCTCGAAACAGCTCCCAGTCTTTCCTCGTTCGAAATAATCCAGGGCGTTGTTTGAACACGACGTGCACATAACACAGGCGCCACTTTATTCGACACTGTTTTCAAAATACGATCAATTTCTTGCGATACCTGTTAATGCGAAATTTTAAACAGCGCATCTGGAGCGTATCTGAGGCAAATAAACAAATACTTTGCACTAAACTTAACAGATAACAAGCAAGCAGAGGCACGTACAAAACATACGCATACACGCATATTTAATGAAAAAAAAAAATACACTTACAACGGCCTCGTTGAATGGGCGCAATTTCGTTGACGAAGAAGAGACGGTGAATCGCTGCTGCGTTACGAAAGGAGTTACAGAGAATGGGGTTTCTTGTCTTTCCTGAAGTGAACATTGAAACGATGAAACCAAGTCACGAAAAATGAAGCCGAAAAAAGCTTAGAGATACATACAGTAAAAAAAGTAGGGCAACCGGTGATGCATGAACGAACGATGGTTAACGATATGTGAAGGAAAAAAAAGAACATACATTCTCAAACAATTTTTCAGCAATCTCAAGAATATTTTCCATGCAACTTGCACGTGACGGACAGCTTGGTTGCTCACTAATCAGCGCCACAAGCTGCAACAAATCGATAAAAAAGGGGAAATTCAGGTGTCATGAAAAGTACTGCAGATGCATGTCTCTTCCAACCATCTATAGAATGCTACTACATCAAAGAGTTCGTGTTGCTGAACAAAAAATCAGCAACGACAATGACCTGTAACAATGAATTCGCTGCGAATCAGCAGCACCTACTGTGAGAAGCATGAAATGCAAGCAGAACAGGAGCTCACCTCATCGAACAGATCACAGACTCGAAATGGTAGCCCACGCTCCGATATGAAAGACTGGAAAAGCAGGCTATCAAGAAATGCACGTATAAGTGGGCATGACGAAAATTTTCGTAGACCCAGAAATGCAGATTTGTGAAAGACAATTAATGGTGGCGTGTACAGCCGAATGACCTCTAAGCAGCAACGATAACCGATCAATAAATCGGCAAAGAAACGAACGAAACAGGCACGAATCCGCTTGTCCTGAAATTCTAAAAGCCTCACGTAGGCATAAACTAAAAGACAAACAAAGATTTACGAGGTTTGGTTCAGTCATTGATTCGGCAGCACTTCAAAAGTTTCACATCAGTATATTCAAATTAAATAATGTAAAAGCAGAATCACAAGATGCTAATCTTTATGTAACAGGGAAATTTCCTGACCTAAAATCTACAGTTTCAACAAAATATTGCAATAATGTACAAGTTTCCAAAAAAGCAGTGTAGCGCGAAATACTACTATCCAGACCTGCATCATTAACCTGATCATATATGATACATATTGTGTTTTAGAGCTGAATTTAATTTTCTGTAAAATTTTTTCTATAAAATTTTTTCATTCCCTACAAAATTTCACATTTCCCACATATTTCGAATAATCCAGCCAAAAGCTAAATTTGTCGCCCTTTAACAAATAATAAAATCTTCCGACTAAATTCGATACTACGCTGATTAAATTTTATGCCCTCTAATTATATTTTTATATTTGTTGTTCCAGCATGCTTATGTCACAGCAACCTTCTGACCCCATCAACTCCAATCAAAATAGACGTTCAAAAAAAAGGAAGAGGAGAGAGTAGCGATCACTGGGGTATGCCACTGATTTGTTAAAAAATGACTGCCAGGAGTTCAGTGAAAGAGCGCCAACCTGTACTTCGTAGGCAGGAAAAGGAGGCTGGCCAACCTTCCAGGCATCATCTGCAGTACCAAGGCCAGGAAACATCACCTGAAACAAGAAGAGTTTCATGAGGCTGTCACAAAACAAATCACTGCCCCTCAGTTCGGCACTAAAATACTTGGAAAGCATGGACCATTTGCAGGGAAGATGTGAGCTGCTGATAAAACGGTGGCGGAATAGCCGGTAGTGCAATTGAAGGTGGCATGTAGACAGCACCAATATCGAGATCCACAACAACCGCGTCCAAATCCGTATACCGTATGCGAACACTGTTGAGCACACCCATAATATAAGGAGTGGGACTTTCGAGATATTCGATGAGCAATTCCGGAAGTACGGGAACATAGGTATGCCTGGAAAAAGAAAGCACGGAGCACAGTGCAAATGAGAGAAAAGAGGCGAACTGATTTAGGTGGCCGGCAAAAGAGAGCCATGAATGGACATGGAGTAAGAAAACTAACGGATAATCGAACGGATAGAGAAGCGAGCGTAGTGCATAGCAGCTGTCGGCAAGCAAGGAAAGCGAACTGGACCGGAACAATATCTTATGATCGGTCATTACGGCACATAACAACGTCAGGATATTATGGATTGTTCCTAAACTGCAAACCACCATCACCCTCCTCATTTTTCAATGGAAAATTGCAACTCTAATAACAAAATTATCCGGCAACTACCGCAAAAAACAAATCCTTTGACAAAAATTTCTGCTCCTCCTCCTAACTGGCACAGCAGTGAAGCAACCAGGAAAAGAAGACGGGGGAATCTCTCATCCCCATCCCCTGTTCCCCTGTTTTTTGTTCCCATAAAATGTCAAAATTACCGGTGGTGTAAGGCACACAGACGCGAAAATGAGTAGGAAGAAAGTAAAAGTTAGCTGGTGTGGTGCGAAATCTAGCCGGAAAAACGTGAAATTTTATTAAAATAACACAAAATTTAGCAATAATTAATTGAATGCTAACAAGTCTATGTTAAGAAGCGAGTAAGTTGGTGGGGAAAAGTTAAATTTAGTAGTAAGAATCTAAAAAAAAAAAAAAAACACGTACAAAAGAATGATATGCAAAAATAGCTACTGTAAGTAGGAAAAGGCCTCCAACTGTGAGTGAACTAATTTTTTTGTGCAGAAGCGCTGAAATCTGAGAAAACCCTGTTTGCCAAAAGCTGGCACAAAGGCATTTCAAAAAAAAAAAAACCATCCAAGGCAATTGGAAATGTTAAGAGAACAAACCGAGCTGCTGCAAAAAGCGTGCAACTTTGTCGGATGTAACAGGTATTGTTGACGATTTGGGAGCCCGTACGGAGAGCCGATCAGTTCCCAAGCAAAACGATGCCGCTGGCATGCCCGGAGTAAGGAAAACTTGTGAAAGCAGCGTGGCCACCATCGACTCGGCTTTATCCTCCGCTTCCAGCAACGCTAATAAAATTCGATTTAAACAATTCTGAAATAATACGTAGAGGAATTAAAAGAATCGCTGGTTCAGGAAATTCACCAACGCTTTTACGACATTTAGCAAACATACAGCTAACCCACCTATGCCCTCCGTAATTTGCTTCCAAGAAAAAAGGCCCGCATGGCTAACCCGTATAAATTTTTCGGGAACCGCTGCAGGAGCTAGCATAAAACAGTTTAATTAAAACAGTCTAGTGCCCATTTATGATTGGTAACGAATCATAACTGGTTGGACACAAGTGATTTCAAGCCAGCGATCGGATCGGGCGGAAAAATTAAAACAGATTCAGGATTGACACATACCCTAAATAAATCGAAGAAGGGAAAGCGCGATAGTATAACAATGACTTTGGGCTTGAATAGGCTCGGTGTTTCGTCGGATCTCGCATCATCCAGCTCCTCGATATCACCGCCACAAGGCTCGTATACCTTTGATAAGAGACAGAATATGAAAAATTCGATAAAAGCAATGGTCTGACCCAACGATAAGTCATACTACGCGTGAATGGATTAAAAAAAACCCCCAAAAATGGGGGATACGGATACAGAGCGCACTGTAGGAACCCCAGTAGCATTCTCGCATGTAGTTCTGTTTTCCAGTACAAATACGGTCGGATGCGGTGCAAAAAACCTCTGCAACTGCTAGAATGCTGCGGAATACTGTGAAGACTAAGAATTTTATGCAACACAAGTTGCTAACGTGCAAAATTCTTGCACGGTGAATGTATTTTGGTGGTCAAAAAGCAATTTCTCAGAATTAGCAACACGCTGAATAACACAAGAAGGGCTAAACGCAGGCCATTTCCAGGAAATTAAATTCCTAAATTTGACTCAAATCCACGGAGCAGCGTGCAGCACTGCCTGGCAAAGGGAGGCGAAAATTTCTG